TTGGGGAAAGAGGCTGGGGTTTCCGGCCGGAGGAGGGTGTGGGCGCCGAGAGCGTGGGTGACGGCCTGTAGGGGTGGGTGTGCTTCAGGGGGAGGAGGAGCGGTGGGCTTGGTGGGGTGTCCATCCACGGGGCGCATCCTCTCTGGACCGACTGCAAGTCCCCTTTGATGTTGGGGCGGGAGGGGGCGGGGCGGGCAGGGAACCAGAACGCCCCCAGGTGACCCCTGGGGGTCCTCGCCACCACCTCGTGCAGGGGTTCCAAATTCGGGTTGGGGGACCCTCCAGGGAATGAACGATCGTCATCGATACGGGGTTAAAGAAAACTTCCCCAACTCATTGCCGGAATAAACGGGGCGTTCGTTTCTGACACGCTAGTCACATGCCAGAGCCGCATGGTATTAAAGCTTCCTGTGATGAGGTCAGTGATCCTGTCAAACACCAGGATCGGGGACCAGTCGCCCAGTGACAGTCTCGGTACATAGAGAAGCGCTGGGAGCAGAAGGCCTTCCCATGGTGGGCGCCCAGCAGATGTTTGCTGAGTGATGGGTGGGTAACGCCTGGGAAGGACCCTGGTCACTCCGACACCCTTGGCCTGAATGTGCTGTGAGTAGAGACCAGGTCTGCTTGGCTCCTCGTTGGACCCTCACCACCCACTGACATGCCTAGTACATAGGTCGTTGATGCTCCTTGTACTGCCGAGTGAATAAATCGAAACCCGAAACAACTATAATAAAAATCTGATCCCTGCCCAGCCGGTGTGGCCCAGTGGCTGAGCACTGACCCGGGAACCAGGAGGTTGGGGTTGGGCTCCTGGTCAGGACACGTTCCCGGGTTGCTGCTCGATGATCATTGATGTGTCTGTCTCTCTCTCCGTCTCCCTTACTCTCTAAAATCAATTTAAAAAATCTATTTAAAAAATGGTCTGCTATTTCTATTTGTTAAGCCTTCTCTATACTTAACTCTTATCTTTTTTTTTTTTCATCACAGCATTTTCAAGGAGTTTTACTAGTATTCACTCATCTTTTTCCTATTTCACCCCTCCCACCTTTTCTTCATTCCCCCCCTCACCCATTGCATGTTTTAGAAACTTGTCTTTAGTTTTATTCCATCCAAACTGCTCAGGAACCTGAGCTGCTGTTCTCCCTGCTTATAGAGAACCTCTCTTACGTATTTTCCACTTTGATGACTTTGTATTTATGGGGTAGACCTGCAGGGTTTGGGCCCCGTGTGCTGAAAGTGGCTTTCCTCTTTTCCTGCAGAAAGAGTTCAGAGAGCGCTGTGCTCAGTGCGACGCGGTGTCTTGGGGTCTGACTGATGAAGGCAAATACTATTGTACTTCCTGCCACAACGTTACAGAAGTAAGTGACAGATCTCATCCGTGAACTTGCTTATGTTTTAAACAGTGCAGGTTCAGCCTCATGTGTGGCAAAGAATTGATGGATTCTTATCGGGCTTGCAATACCCCAATTCCACGAATGGTAGTAGTCTTCCAGTGCTTACGCAGGGTGAGGGAATTTGTGAGTTAGATTTAGGATGAGTTTTTGAAATTATGTTGGGCCATACATATAAATGATTTCCCGATTCAGACTGTGTAGTCCAGGCGTGTCAAACTCGTGGCCAGCGGGCTGCATGCCTCGCTTATTTGGCCCGTGTTAGCCTTTGAGTTTGACATGCTTGGTGTAGTCTTAAGGGGAAATAATTAAAACTGTAGTTCTTTGATTAGTTAAGAGTTTTTAATGTGTGGTGGGATCTTAGAGGTTTGGAAGACGGGATGTTAGAAAGATGGAGGACTGTTGGAAATGTGCTTCGTTGTTATTTTATCTTTGTACAGTACCTTACAGATTGCCCAGTGTTTCTTACCCGGTCCTTAACTGCCTCCTCATAACCACCTGTGAGCTGTACTATTGTGCCTCTCTAGAGACAGGGCAGGTAGGGCTCACGACTTGAGTGAGTTTGCTAAAGTCACACAAGTATAAAGTGTTGAGCCAGGACTTGAACCTGCGTCTTCTGACTCCAGTGTTCATTTTACCCTCCACACCTGCCTCTTACAGTAGAGACTGCCGTTCTGTCCTGCATGGCCTTGATAAGTGAGGCCCCTTCCCCCCGGGAGGGCTGGGCCCTGTTCTGGTTACACACCTCAGGGCAACATAACGCCAATAATCAAGGGTGTGGACAGCCTGCTGTTGGACAGTCTCAACATGCTAGGCTCTTCTCCCTGGGTAAGGATTTGCTCAGAGTCTACAGAGCCAGGAAGGAGCAGATCCTACCTCCACCACATCCCCGGAAGAAAGGCACATCGGGGGCAGGTAAATGGAACTGTGTAGACTTCTGCTCCTGGCCAGGATGGAGTAGCAGGACCCAGGTTTACCTTCCTACCCTAAACAACAAAAACCTGGAAAAAGTGTATGAAACAAGTAAAAAAAAAAATTCCCTTGAGAAAAGTGGTTGGTTTAGCTTGCAGCTCAGTCACACAAGAGCTTTTCCTTGAGACAATCATTGTTCTGTCTGCAGTGGAAGTTCCTACGTCGGCTTCCATGCAGTCACACAGTGTTTAAGAGATAAGTCGGTGCTCCTCTGGAGAGCTTTTCCTTGAGACAATCATTGTTCTGTCTGCAGCGGAAGCTCCTATGTCGGCTTCCATGCAGTCACACAGTGTTTATAAGTCAGTGCTCCTCTGATGAAAGGGTTGGGCTAGGGGGTATGTTCGTTATTTGGATTATGGTGATGCTTTTGGATATACACACACAAAAGCTGATGCTTTTGGAAAATCACATTTATGAGTAGAATGTCTACATATTATTTGCACATAAAATTATGTCTGCAGTAAGTGCCTACATATTATTTGAAGATACTAAACAAAGGTATGAAGTATTGATTACGTGGAAGAAAATAACTTAGTCTACATGTACTACTGAAGTCAGAGATTTATTTAAGAAAAATACATACTTGATCATGTTTCTATATTTTTACCTTATTTACAAGTAAGTATGTTAAGAGTATTAAGTAATTCAATTATCTTAAAATTATATAGTAATGGCTATATTTTTATTTCAGTATTAGTAAAAAAGTGAACAGACACTGGACCAAGTGTTAGAAGATCTGAATTCTAGGGTGGTTTTTTTTGTGTGTGTGTTATTTGTAAAATATGGCTCATTTGTAAATAATATTATTGGTGTAACAATTAGGGAAAGTATATACGCAATCAAAGGCATTTATAAAATTGTTAACAAGATTTAATATATGTGAGAGAGAGAGAAAGAGCTATAATCAGAGAGCAAGCCAGAATCTTAGGTACCAGTCCCTGAGAGCACTTGGAATTAAAGACTTTGGAATGAATTGTACCCACCATTTAGTCATTCCAAAATCCTATAAATGGATAAAAAACAAAAAGTAGTATTTTTATAATTTTATAAATAAAGCTGTTTTAGAATATTATTCAAATACAGAAAAGTAGGATGTGTAGTTTAGGCATTGCTGATTACAATAAATACAGAAATTATTTTAATTCCAAAGTGTTTTTGGTGCAGAAAAAATGAATATATTTGACTTTAGGTTTGATTTGAAACAATTAGAAAGTGATTTTACCAAAGAACTTACATGCTTTTTGCATAACCCATGGACACAGACAGTATTGTGGTTAAGGCCTGGGGAAGGGGTCCATGGGGGAGAAAGGGGTCATCTGTAATACTTTCACCAATAAATTAAAAAAAATAAATAAAAGGTTAACCCACATACATGCACACACACACAAATGTGATTTGAAATAAAAGTTTATTCATTTGACAGACGTTTATTCAGTGTTTACTATATTCCAGGCACTGTTTTAGGTAGAGAGTAATTTTGAATGAGAAAGCAACAAAAAGGTTAATCAGAATGTTCCAATTCATATAATTTCCCCCACGTGTGACATCATTGGTTCTGGCACTCACAGGGGGTTCATTGTGCTCCCAGAACAGCTTGGAAACATGTGGGAGATGTAAAGCTATGGTTTTAATGATAATGTTTCCATTTCTGCAGAGATCTAAGGACGTTTTAAACAGCGAGGCGATTCCTAATACTAAAATACAAGCTATCAACCGCGGGCTTAAAAAGAGAAATAAACTTGGTAAGTTCATTCCTCATGTGTGCCCAGCATTCTTCAGCCATGGTTTTCACCGTCATGATTTGGGGATGTGGAATGGAATATTAAGTAGATTCTAGAGAAGTTGCCAGAATTCTAAGCAGGTAATCCAACGTGGAATTAAAGTGGGTGGTTATTGATGGTGAAATTGGAGGCAGGTGTCTGCCAGCATGTCATTTTTTACCCTGTGTTGTCAGGTTGCTTTTCCAGTGGAGCAACTATTATGCAAAAAAATAATGATGACAAAAGGTGCATCTCTCTTTCTATCTGTTGGCGTCTGCTTTTCTGTCCCGTATTTGTCATCTCGTGAATGTGATTTTCTGCGCTTTAAAGAAAAATGCTTACTTTCTGAAATGATTCAGCAGGAATTGTCAGGTTAGGCAGGTTAAACCTGATATTCAACTTCAGAAACCCATTTCTCACACTGAATTTTGAACACACCCTTTTAAAATAGGGAAGATTATTTTCCCTTAAAATAGCCTCAGGCCCTAGCTGGTTTGGCTCAGTGGATAGAGCGTCGGCCTGAGGACTGAAGGGTCCTGGGTTTGATTCCCGTTCAGGGCATATGCCTGGGTTTCGGGCCCGATCCCCAGTGGGAGTTGTGCAGGAGGCAGCCAATCAATGCTTCTCTCTCATCATTGATGTTTCTATCTCTCCCCCTCTGCCTCCTCTCTGAAATCAATAAAAACATATTTTAAAAAATAGCCTCACCATGGGTGTGCTTTGACAGGTATGTTTCATTAACCCAGTGAGTACAGGTAATTACCCTTCTTGAGAAGAATCTGAGGGAGTCTACCTGATGCTTTTCATTTTGTGACTGATGACCTAGGACAGTGATGGCGAACCTTTGACACGCGTGTCAGAGGTGGCACGCGAACTCATTTTTTTAGTTGATTTTTCGTTGTTAAATGGCATTTAAATATATAAAATAAATATCAAAAATATAAGTCTTTGTTTTACTATGTGAAAGGGCGAGGGCTAGGCCCTCCATCTTGCCCCAGGGTAAGGGCTACGCCCTCCATCTTACCTTGGCCATGTGCTTGGCAAGGCTTCTTCCCAGAAGCCCAAGCCTCTGCTAGCCACACCCAGGACTTCTTTAAACTAACCAATGACAATCAAGGGAAGTCGCCATAGATATGACCACATCCTGTGTAACAAGACACCAACTTGCACCTGGCCAATTGGCAAGGCCCACAGCCCTTTCTCCTCCCCTTACACCAACCCCCTATAAAACCCCTCTCCACACAGAGTTCTCTCTCTCTGCTTCCTGCCGCTGCGTCGGCGAGGTGGGGGAGCCGAGCTAGCTCGAATAAAGACTCTTATGCTTTTGCATCGGACTGGCTGGCTCCCTGGTGTGGTTTCTTGGGGATCCTGAAATCTGGGCATAACACTATGGTTGCAAAGATAAAAAAATTTCTATATGTGACACGGCACCAGAGTTAAGTTAGGGCTTTCAAAATGCTGACACGCCGAGTTCAAAAGGTTCGCCATCACTGATAGGACCAGATTCTCAGGTTTGAAACCCGGCTAATGACGGCTCTTTCCACATGAGGGGCTCCAAGGGCACACACACTTGAAATGAATATGTAAAAATGTGAATGAACTCTGTGTGAACGACAGAATGCCTAAATGCCAACTTCTATTCCTGATTAACCTTTAATAGTGACTGTTGTTATTAGGCTGAAACCTGATTAATTTTAAATTTTATTAGGGTAAGCCTGATTAATTTGGATTTGACCTATGTAAACAGTTAAAGTGTATAGTTAAACGTAACACATTGCGGACGGATCATGAGCATTCTTGTGTTTTAGTATTACACAGTGTTTTACATAAATGTTAAAGGCGCGCCTTACAGTTAAATACCCATTGCATCTTGAAGCTGTTTATTACATGTTCTTACAAGCTAATATCTTTTTAAAGTGTGATACTTTGTAAATGTTTTTTGTCCTCGTTCAGTAGAACTTACCTGGCCACTGGGTAAAGCTAGCAGTAAAACCACCGGTGCGCAGCGTTAAGTAGCTGCAGGAACTCGGGTGCTTCAGGGAGATGCCAGGTGTCTTAGATTCAGCCTCTTTGACCTCCGCTCCTTCCTCTGTAACATGGAGGTGGTACCGCCTGTTACGTGGACGAGGAGCCCAGACGCAGGGTGTGCCGGTGAGAGCAGTGCGCAGGGGCCCAGGTTGAAGAGCTCCCCCTCCCTCCCTGCCCTTGGGGTGCAGCGGATGACAGGCTTTCCATCTCACTCATGTACAACCCGAGACCCTCTCCAGAGGTTGGGTCAGGGCCTGGTGACACTGAGGTGAGGAGAGCGGCAGTCCGGTGACATCCACAAGGGGAGGGACCTTGGAGTCATGGTGACCGACTCCAGAAGCTCTTTGTGAGAAGGCTGCTAACCCACCCCCGGAAAGGACAGCGTTTGTCCAGCAGGGAGGGGTGAAACCTCAGGGTCTTAGCCGGTGGTTCTGTTTAAACGCGTAGCTCTTGTCTGCCATGTGGCAGATTTCCTCACCGTCTCCAGGGCGGTTTGAGGACTGAAGGAAAGAACCTACTACAGCACCCGGCACGCCCCGGCACCTGGCAGAGCTCCATAAAGGGGGTTTCTTCGCTTGCAGTTTCTCCCGAGTACCTGGATCCGTGCTCAGAGAAGCAGATGCCTCGCGCACTGTGTGGAGTGACGGCACTGCCTCTCCTGGAGCCCGGACCCTCTCGTCCTGGCTTCTGTGCATCGATTCCCCACATGCTCACGGCTGCCTTTCTGGTGCTGGGGACAGAGCAGCGGAAGCCCAGGGGCCGAGCGCTGCGTGTCCCCAGGCAGGGTTTAGTGGGCATCGTTCACACAGTATGCTTCTTAAAACTTATTTCATCTGTTTAACGCGGTGACTACCATTTTTCTGCCTATTACATTAATGTTTCAGAAAAATTATGGGTAATGTGAAATGTAAAATCTCATCAATTATAAAAATAATGTTTAGCGTTAGCATTTGGGTACACATCTGCCATGTTGGAAATTAGACTGTAAGAATGGAAACCCTATTCAGGGATACAAAGCACTACAGTTGCCCTGTGTGAAACAGCCGTGCCCGGGGCAGGCGCGGGGAGGACGTGAGGGAACACCTGTGGCCGCGCACAGTGGTCAATCAGGAGTGCGGTGTCTGAGACATGTTGTCTGTCTTTCAGAGAAAGGCTGGGACTGGTACGTGTGCGAAGGCTTTCAGCACGTCCTGTATCAGCAAGCAGAGGCCTTGAAGGCCCTGGGGGTCGGCCCAGAGTTAAAGGTGAGTCCATGTGTGCCTAGATGTTAGCTTTCCGTCTTGTTGTTCGAAGAACAGTAAGATTTAGAGTGAAACTAACCAGTAATAACAGGAGGGCTGCGGGAGAATCTTGCTTCTGATGTTTTTGCTTTAGTCTTTTTATTAGACCAGCAATTCCCACACTACATTCTCCAGGATGTGAAGAAGCAGTACATCTAAAAGAAAACAAAAGGGTTTACTCATCATGTATTTAGGAAACATTGACTTAAACCAGGGGTCCTCAAACTTTTTAAATAGGGGGCCAGTTCACTGTCCCTCAGACCGCTGGAGGGCCAGACTATAGTTTAAAAAAAAACTATGAACAAATTCCTATGCACACTGCACATATCTTATTTTGAAGTAAAAAAACAAAACGGGAACAAATACAATATTTGTATTTGCATGTGGCCGAGGGCCGTAGTTTGAGGACCCCTGAACAATGTAAAACAAGTAACTTTGCAAGCTTCCGGCCGCCTTTCCTGTGGCAGTGTGCTGGTTCCGTTCCCCCGGGGCCCGGGGACAGCGTGGGCCGTGCTCAGGGTTTGAGACAGAAGCCGGGTGGGTGGCCTCCAGCAGGATTTGAGTTCCAGATGCTCCCTGGGTAGCGAGGCATTAGCCAGCGGTTCTCCACGTGGGTTTGTGTCAGGAACCTGGAGGGCCTGTGAAAGCACAGCCTGCTGACCCAGAGCTGCTGGGGCAGGAGGTGTGGAGTGGCCCAAGGATTGGCCTTCTAGCAAGTTCCCACGTGACCTGATAGGGCTGGTCCAGGGACCATCCTTTGACTTTGCTGCCTCTCAAGAGGGACTTTTCTATTATTTGAATTTTGTATTTCCCCATCTAGTTGAAGCCTTTTCAGAAATTCTGTAAAAGCCAGTTACTGAGCACTGTGGTTACTGTACACCTGCTTCATGCCCATCACTGGGAGCCAAGCGCTAGGAGACCCAGCCTAGCTGGAGAGAGGGGAGTGCGTGAACAGTCAGATCCCGGGTGCTCACAAGTGACACGAAGGGCAGAACGAGAAGGGAGGAGGACAGGGTGGACCGAATCACCAAGGAGAGATGTGGAGGGGGCTTTGCTGGTGGGGCAGCCGCACAGGTGACTCTAGACCGGGTGTGGTGAAGAGACACTGGCCTGTGCTGGCAGAGGTCACTACAGGAACTAGAAACTCAGCATCTGAGGCCTCAGGGCGCCTGCCCGCAGTCAGTGCGTTCGGTCCGGCTGCTGGTGAGGGAAGTAGAGCCGCACAGGAGAGGCCGCCGTCCGGGCAGCACAGAGAGGCTGTGGGTGAGATGTGCTGGCGTACTTGTCACCAGACCACAGATCCCCACTCGTTTCCCTTCCGCCTCAGAATCAAGTTCTGCATAATTTTTGGAAGCGCTACCTGCAGAAGAGCAAGCAGGCGTATTGCGAAAACCCAGTTCATGCCAGAAAGAGGAAAGCCGCGGTAAGTCACAGGCAGAGCCTGGGACAGGGACACTCCGGGAGACGCAGAGGTGAGGTTTATGATGGTCAGGAGTTAAGTTCATGGGAATTATTGCCATTTAATTTAAAATTCCTGTGCAGTGACTTCATGTTGTTTTGCGATAGGTCCTGGGCAGTCCGAGTCACTCGGACTGGGAGAGCGAGCCTGCGCTGCTGAGTGACGCCAGCGGCCCTTTTATTGAAAGTGACGGCCCGCGGAAGCCGTCCCCCCCCAGCAGAGCATCCCACTCAGGTAACGGAGCCGCGCTGTCCAGGGCGGGAGGCGGGAGCTGGTGGTGTCCAGAAGGCACGCAGTCCAGTCTCCTCGCTCCAGGAAAGGAGGTGGGCCCAGCAGAACCCCATGCTGAGCAAAAGACAAAGGAGTGAAGTCTCAGTGTCATTTTATGGAGGACACTGTCCCCACACTCGCTCCAGGAAAGGAGGTGGGCCCAGCAGAACCCCACGCTGAGCAAAAGGCACAGGGAGTGAAGTCTCAGTGTCAGCTTATGGAGGACACTGTCCCCACTGGAACACTGCTGTGTGATGTCGGAAGGGAGCCAGACAGGAAGTGGGTCTAGAAAGACCGAGGCCAACTCAGTAAAGATCGTACATGTGTGGGGGCCCAGGGTTTCCCCAGAAAAGCCGCTGCAGAGCGTGAGAGAACTTAGCCCCTGGTCATCGGGTAGACAGGAGTCAAAGAGGACGTGCCCCGTTTCTAAGCACAGACTAAAGCAGGCGGAATGAGCCCATGGTACATGTGTGTGTACCTCATTTTCCGATTTAATTCCACGATTGTACCCGGGGAGTCTGGCCTGGGCTCCGGGGGAGAGGCTGAGCTACTGGTCCTTCCCTTCGAGGATCCAGCATTCCCACCTGGAACCCGCCCCCGGAGCTGATCGGATCTTCCAGAGCACGCTCTGTGCGTCTCCTGGTCGGAGGGTGTCATCCTGGCTGTTCTGGAAAGTGGGTGGGAAGAAGAGGGCCCGGGAGAGGGGATCTCAGGACTCCATACATGACCTTTCACTTACTCCCCCCGTTTTCATAAGATGCCTGGCTCAGCTGTGAGTGTGACTGAGGGTCCCTGTCCCAGAGGAGAAACTTTCAATGTCCGGCCAAGATTGGGGCGGGCAGTCCCGTGGCTGTGGCGCTGGGTGCGAATCTGATCAGACTCTCCAGCAGTCCTGGGGTCAGTCCGACCGTCGCTGTTGCCAGGGGGCCCTGGTTGAACCAATCCCAGCCCTCTTCAGAGGCCCCGGGCACAGTTACCTGCCATGGCTCTGAGTCCCGCTGTCTCAGGACCGCTAAGGCGCAATCGCCTGTCCAATGCTTTCCAGCTTCCACACTGCTGCTCCTCTCTCCTTTCCACCGTATTTGTTCTGGGGTTACCGTTTTAAAATGGCCTTTATCGTTGTTTAGTGAGACAGAGCAGACGCTAAACAGCAGGTTTTCAACCTGCCCTCTTAACGGGAAGCTCCTGCGAGTTGTCACATGTGCAGATCATAGTGTCTTACGTATTTTATGGGATCTGTGGCCTCGTGTGTCTTGTAAAGGAGTCATCCTCCATCTGTGGCATCCTCAGGCCCCTGCAGGCTTGTTGGACAGGTTGGTGCAGCTCCTCGGGGCTCAGGCGGCCCCAGTACAGCTGGTCCAGGGACGATGCTTTGAGAACCACAGATATGAATGCCTCTTTGGATTTTACTATTTTTCTCCTTTTGTCCCCTAAGAAATGGCCTCCATCTGCTCCGGGTCTCTTGATGGAGTCGAGTACTCTCTGCGCAAGGAGAAGGGGCTCGTGAAGATGACCATGCCCGCGACCCTCGCTCTCTGCGGCCTGTCGTTGCTGTGGCAGCGGGAGGCGCTCGCCCTCTCCGACCTCCTGCGGTAAGTGGCCTCGGAGCGTGTGGTCACCTGTGCGGACCAGGGACAGCGTGGACAGTGTGACTTACGAGGCTTGCATTGAGGAAGGGACTGGAAAGACTGGGGAACTGGGTTCCAGTTCTGTAACTCAGTCCTCCCTGGGCTAGTAACTCCCCCTTCCTGGCTTCCTTATTCATAAAGGGGAAATAATAGTACCTGCCTGGCGTGGGCGTTGGGAGTTAGTTATCTACTGTGAGTAAACCGCGTTGAAGAAGAAAAGTGACATTCAAGTGGTAGTATTAGTGTTGTTGTTTCTAAGGAAGAAGATGAACAGATGACTTTACAGTGGCAAATGGTTATTAATGGCGTTACACAAGAGCTAAACATAGGCTGCCTACCTTTATATGTGAAATTGAAACACAACTGTTGGAAGAACCTGTTATGCAGATAGCTGGCATTTACATTTTCCAAGATAATCTGCAGGGCTTTCTGGCTAACGAGTAAATTAGGGCATGTGCTAAGGATTTCTCATCACAGCCAAGACGGGCCCCAGTCATCAGTGTGTCCCTGCTCCCCTTGCTCGTGTGTTCTAATAACGTGTGGGTTTGGTCGGCGTGTGGAGTGGGGTAAGAGCATGGATTTAGACCACACTCCTGGTTCTGCTGCTATATGTTATGTGGCCTTGAGTAAATTTCATTTTAACTTTTCTCTGCCTCTGTCTTCTTGTTGTAAAGCAGGAATAACACTATTTACCTCGCAGGGTTAGGGTTGCAGCTGCGTCAGTACTTCGCACACGCAGAGCACTTAGGCCAGGCCGGACACAGGAGAGCAGTGCTGCTATCGTGGCTTTGTCATCTTCCTTTTCTCTCCTCCTCCTCTCCTTGTCCTTCTTCTTTGCCACCACCATCATTCTTGGCACTATGGGCCTTTGATTAAATAAAATGCCTCCAATGAATGATGCTGGTACCTTTGAATTTGGCCACATCAGCCAGATAACAAGGCTTTTCTCAGGTGATTCACCGCGTGCAGATCGTCCATGACTCAGGGACTTCACTGTGAAGTTGAAACCCCGTCTTGCTCTGTCTGCCCCCTGGGGTGACCTCATCTTCTCCCAGGGCCCTAATTACCGCCTCTGTGGTGATGACGCCCGAGTCTATATCTCCAGCCCAGACTTGTTTACTGAGGGCCGGGCCCGTATGTATCACACAGGAGGCCGTGGGACGGCCACTCCTGGGCTGTCTTCATGGTATCTCAGGATCAGCATGACCCAATGAGGCTCCTCGTCTTTCCCCTCGGCCCAGCTCCTTCTCCATCCAGCGTTTTCCGTCTTCTAAACGCCACGCCTCTGGCATCCGATCCAGCAGCCTAGGAATCAGCCTTGACTCTTTCCTCTCTAGGCACACACATCCGTCAGCCAAATTTGCAAAGTAACTCTCTAAACCACTTTCTCCCCATTCCCTGTCTGTCTTTACCTGGGTTGCTTAGCAACCTCCCAGATGAGCCCTGTGGCTGCAGTCTTGTGCCCTCTCCCCGTGTCCTCCCTAACCAGAGGGACCTTCGGGAACAGCAGTCTCATCACCTGCGGATGCCGGCGCAGGCTCCCACCCTCCCAGGGCGGCTGGAGAGGCTATAGCAGAACCCGCCTAGAACTCTAACTACCTGAAGTTCTTCTCGGGGAAGGTTATATGTGGTTGGAAGATCGAGGGTGAAATCCTGCACCTTCGTCTCTTTCTCTCTCCCTGGCTCCCTTTCCTCCTCCCTCTCCCTTTCCTCCTCCTTCTCCCTCCCTCCTCCCTCTCTCTTCCTTCCTCTTCCATCTACCTTCCTCTTCCCTCTCCCTTCCTCCCTCTCCCTTTCCTCCTCCTCCTCCCTCCCTCCTCCCTCTCCCTTCCTCCTCCTCCTCCCTCCCTCCTCCCTCTCCCCCCTTCCTCCCTCTCCCTCTCCTCCTCCTCCTCCCCCCCTCCTCCCTCTCCCTTCCTCCTCCTCCTCCCTCCCTCCTCCCTCTCCCTTCCTCCTCCCTCTCCCTTTCCTCCTCCTCCTCCTCCCTCTCCCTTCCTCCTGCCTCCCCTCCTCCCTGGTCCTCTCCTTCCTCCCCGGGGAATGGCAGGCCCGCGAGGAGGTGGTCCGCTGGCTGGAGACCTCTCTGCTCTGGGCACAGACAGATCTGGGGACGGAGCTTAGCTGCTTGGAATAACAGGAGAAGAGCTTGTCCCTTTCTCTGCTTTCCTTAGGTTCTCAAAGGTGTCCCCTGGCACCTGTGAGAGACGCAGGGCCTTGGGCCCTTTCTCATCTTCTGACCCAGCCGCCTGGGTGGGCCTGTGAGCTCTGCTTTCCTAAGCCCCCAAGAGACTCCTATAGATGCTAAACTGAGAGCTCCTGCCAGACTGAACAGACAGCTAAAGGACACTGATCTGAAGAGAACCATGGCCAGCCTGGCTACAGCCCCTGCATCTCACTGACCCTACGCGTCACTCCCGTTAAATCCTGAGCGGCGCCCGTGGTCCTCGGGATGAGCTCATCACCCTTCCAGGAGCCTTCAGAGGACCTGCCTGCCCAGCAACGACAGGAATAAGTGAAAATAGCCAACACTGTTCAGTCCACAGATGCTCATTGAATATTGATTACATGCAGGGGTTACTCTTGAGATGCCATGTAGATCGAGTCCCTGCTCTCACGAAGTCCCAGGCTCGAGGAGGGAGCAGATGAGCAAGGACCTAACTGTGTAAAAGCTGATCCCGAGCGAAGTGCCTGCAGGAGACGGGAGCTGGGTGACGTGACAGTGACTAGCTGGCTGCCGGGACTGGTCGATAGGGAGGCCTCACTGTGAAGGTGGGGCTTAAGCCGCACTTTCAGTGAAATAGAGCCGGAGGCGGGTCTTGGACGTACTGTGCTCGGTAGAGGGAGGTCGGTGCCCAGCCCTAGAGCTCCGTGTGGTCGAGAGGAGGGGGCTAGTGGACAGAGTGAGCAAATCTGAAGGAGTCGGAGGGTGGGGCCAGGGGCCTAATAAGCAGAGTTCAGATGCAGGTCTTTGTTAGCCTAGTTAGGGGGTTGGATGCTTTTAATTGAGATATAATTCATATACAGTAAAACTCACCCTTCTCAATGCCCGTCAGTGGTTTTCGGCGCATTTACAAGGCTGTGCAGCCATCTGTCTGTTTCCACAGCAAAGGACACGCATGCTCAGTAGGAGTGAGACAGTGAGGCGCTGGGAGATGGGCAGGAGAGGCAGACCCGGTCACTCAGGCAGCGGGAAGACGGGCCCCAGGAGGGCACGGTGGGGCGGGGGGCCGTGGACACGGCTACGCTTCAGGAAGGAGTGGGGCTGGGCCTGGGCGGTGGGGATAGAAGTGGAACCAGGCGAGTGGGTGCAGGAGAGGTTTTGCAAGTAGATGTGCTCAGCTCTAATGCAGTGCCTCTCACATCATCTGCGATAAAGAGCCCGTTTGTTAAATTTCCAGTCTGGCACCAATGGAGACTTTTGAAAAATGTAATAAAATCATAAACAGAGACAGTGTTTCCTGGGACCTTGTCTTTGAAACACAGCATTTTCAACTCTTTTGATTACTTTGCTAAATCAGTACATAGCTCTTATTGAAACTCTTTCTTTTTAAAAACAGATTTGTTGAAGAGGGCCATATTCCTTATGTAAATGCTTTTGAGCGTTTTCCAGAAGAGATGAAATTGTATGGGCGTGACAAAGGAATCTTTGCTATAGAGGTAAGTTATTTTCTTTTTTTAACTTTGTGATCACGAATAAGACACAAGAATAGTATACAACTTTAAAAGTTCAACATAGAAACCGTTAAGTAATTTCAAATTTCCTAACAGGTGTTTTTTGTTATTATTTGTAAACTGTGTTGCTTTGGAGAAAGTTGTTATCTTGTTTCAAGAGGCAGGATTTTAAGTCCTTTGCTCGCATGAGTCCTGGATCTGTTCTCCGATGTCCCCTGTGGAAGGGCTTCTGTCCTTTAATTCTGAGTCTTTATCAGTGTTTATACTCCTCAAAGGTTATCTTCCCTTTTCCGTCGTCAGAAGGCTTTCCATTTACTAAATATTATTAAAATTCAGCAGTGTCTTCCATTTGCCCACTAATAGGCCTTCCTGATCTTCACCACCGTCTGTGTTTGCAGTTTAACTTGAAAGACATTTGTGACCCTTAGAAACCTGGTCTGGTAATTATTTCACTTGACCCCGTTTACGTACGAGCAGACACCTCAGGAAGCTGGTGGGGCATGTAGTGTCATGCGGTTGGTGGTCCCAGACTGGGAACTTTTGTACTCGGGCCTTATGCTCATCGCATCATCTTTTGCTCCGTTGCCTGCTGTTCTGCCTCCTCCTCACCCGAGTTCTCCAGAACCCTCACGTAGGTGCTGTGAAAATATAACCATGGCACGTGCTGTTGAAGCACTGAGCCAGCAGGAAATGGAGACACCATACAGAAGGTTGCAAGATGCCGTAACATTTTACACCTGAGGTTGTTAAATACTAGCAGCATTCTGCATCGGACTAGAATATTGGTCGCTGTGAATGATTTAGAGAACATTAGATTTGTTCTCTAAATTTGTGATGTAGAGAACGTTAGATTTGTAAACCAGGTGGCTCTGCCCTCAGGACAACGTGAGCGAAGCAGCTCCCGTGACGGGGCTGCAGCGCTGGGCTGGAGGTGGGCTCCCAGGGATGGTCCTAGTCCCTTCGACCCAGGAGAGAGAAGGCAGTGCCCAGGGCTCGCCCTGGCCCACCCGTGGGAAGCGCGAGGAAGGAGGGTACAGCTGCAGCCCCTCTTGACCTGGAAAAACAAAAGGTACATTAGTAGTGGGGGTGCTTGTTATGTACCAGGCCTGTTTCAAAGGCTTTGTGAGCTCATTTGTTATTCATACCAACCCTCTGAAGTACGTAGTGGTATTGTCACCCCTGTGTTACAGACACAGACAGAGATCCTAGGTGCTTGCCTGGTGTTCTCACTCTGAACGTAGTCTGGCATGGCTCAGGCAGCCCTAGTGTGGAAGGAGACAACAATGAGGGACCGTACCAAGCAGTGAGACTGGGAGCAGGGAGCAGCGGGCAGGAATGGGAGGAGGCTGTTGGGGCCGAAAGGGGGCTCCAAACTGGTTACTGAAACCAAGAGGTGGGCCTGTGGCAGCCAGGACAGAAAGCGGGGGCGGAGGAGCCAGCCGGAGGGGGCTGGTTAGTGGGGA